TGCTTTTTTTGAGTGAGCAATCTTGCTAATAATTTTGTATGAATTTGATTCTAACAAATGTTGAAATTATTTTGTTAACAAAGTCTTCCTAAGTACTTTTTTCCTTAAAGAAAGAAAAAAAGGAGTATGTTTTGTAAATGTTGGAGCAGACTATCAGAATAAGAAAAGAAGGACGTTTTAATTTAGCTGTGAAGTGCCACTTAAAATAGAATAGGGGGTAAAATATTTTAGGACAGAATGTGTTTCATGAAGATGAAAGTTTTATTTTACTTTACTTTTTTCTATTAGCTTATCAAGGGGCCAGTTCGTATTTGGTTTTGGCATACCTCAGATTCAGTGTAGGCATTGAGTACTTTGTTCTTCATGGATTCTAAAACTGAATTGTCTTAATCCTAGACTGTGGGAAAAGTGTGTATTCCTGTTTCCTGTGTAGAAGTAAATTCCAGTTTTGAATGAAATCTTATTTCCCTGTTTTCTATTACATCAATCCTTATTGCTGAGATATGTCAGGTTTGGGTTCTTTCTTTCTTTCAGTGCACATATACAGACTGGTAGCTGTGGTGGGGGAATATCTGATACTCATTATGTACGTAATTTTAACCTGCTTTAAATTGAATGCAAAGTTAAGGGTAACTTATTGGTACTTATATCTATGGTTTCCGTATTCATTGTTACACTTCAGTTGTATCTTTAATGTGAAAAAAAAAGTTTCTAAACCTGTTTCCATTTTACATATTGCAAAATTACTTCTGTTTGCCTGGGAATCAGTCCAACCCACGTAGGGTAAGGAAAAGGAACTGTTATATTTTTTTAACGTCTCTTACATAGAAGGCAATTCTGATACGACCTAGGCAGTGTTCTAGACTCTGGAGATACAGCAGTGACCAAGACTTACACTGCAGCAGGGGGATGTAGATACCAAACACGTGACCATGTTAAAAAGGTAATTTAACAGGATAATTCATAGAAGGCAATTAGGAGGAAGTAGCTTTAGGTAGGGTTAGGAAGTCCTCTCTGAATAGTTAACATTGAGTTGCAACCTGTGAGGAGTAGGAGGAAGCCATGCAATAATCTGGGGGAGGAAAGTCCCAAGTAGAAGGAATGGCACGTGCAAAGGCCCTGAGACAGGAACACGTTTGGTTTGTGTGGAAGCCAGGAGGAAGGCCAGTGTCTCCTTAAGTGGACAAAGATAGGCCGGGACCAGGTCATGTGGGGTCTTCGTAGGCCAGGGAATTTGGTTTTTATTCGATTCCTATCGCGAAGCTTTTGAAGGGTTAGAGTAGAAGAATGGTATGATGTGATTTAAAATTACTGCTGTGAGGAGGGATGGACCACAGGGGACTAGTGGTGGAGACAGGGAAGTCGCTTGTGTGATCATTGCAGTCATCCACACGAGAGGTGCTGATGATGGTTTAGACGAGGAGCCAGCCAGACCCAGCCTACTGCCAGTCTTTGTACTGCTCACAAGTTGACTGGTTTTTTAAAGTTTGCATGCATTACATTTTAAATGGTTGGAAAAAATTAAAAGAAGAAGAATGTTTCATGACACATGAAAACTATATGAGATTCAAATTTCAGGTCCGTAAATGGAGTTTTACCAGAACACAGTTGCATTTATTCATTTTCATCTGTCCGTGGCTGCTTTTGGAGTTGTTATTGTACATAGAAGCGTAATGCCCTGATTTGCCCCTGTCACACAGCAGTTCAGTAGCTTAGGAGTTCGTTGAGGTTTTTTTGACGCAGGACCAAGACTGAAATTTTTCTGAACAAAAAAGAACTGTCCTCAACCACTATTATGGAACGTCAAACATTGAATGGCTTTGAAAATTAGTTTGTGTCGCAAACTTGATAATGTTTCTTAATGAAGTCAACCGGAAATTGCAAGGCAAAACAGCATTTACATGCAAGATGCATACTGTGGTAAAGTCATTTTGACAAATAATGTTTGAGTCACAACTAATGGCAAGCTGCTTTTTATACGCCCTAGGCTGTCAAAAGATTAAAGCAAGAAGTAGACTACAGTTCCAGCAGCATTTTTACAAAAGCAAAAGAAATTTCCATATTTCAAAATCTGTATAACTGTGCAATTGAGGATCTTCCACTCAACCTTCAACTGGAAATGATTAGACTACAATATGTTATGCTAAAGGCAAATATCAAGAGAAGAATCTAGCAAAATCTGGCCCTTTGGGGAAAAAAATTGCCAACCCTTGGCTTAGACTAAGATGGTAGCAATGGAGATGGCTTGAAGTGAACTAATTTTGTTGCAGGAAGGGGACCCCTTCCAGGGCCCGAGAGTGGGCTCTTGTCTAACACTCAGAAATGAATTATCCGAGGAGACACACGTGCTGACAAAGCAAGAGACTTTATGGGGAAGGGGCGCCTGGGGGCAGAGAGCAGCAGCGTGAGGGAACCCAGGCAAACTGCTCTGCCACGTGGCTCACGTTCTCGGGTTTTATGGACATGGGGTTAGTTTCTGGGTTCTCTCTGGCCAAACATTCGGACTCAGGGTCCTTCCTGGTGGCGCGCATCACTCAGCCAAAATGGATTCCAGCGAGGAGGATTCTGGGAGGTTGGTAGGACATAGGGACTGGCGCCTCCTCTCTCCTTTTGACCTTTCCTGAATTCTTCTGGTTGGTGGTAGCTTGTCAGTTCCATATTTCTTACCAGGACCTTCTGTTGTAAGATAACTCATGCAAGTGGTTACTATCTTGCCTGGCCAGGGCGGGGGGTTTTGGTCAGTGGTTCCCCTAACAACTTGACATATATTTTTGAGGGAAGGCAGAAAAGATTGGCAGGTGGATTAGATACTGGGTATGAAGGAAGTTAAAGAATTAAAGGTGAGTGAATGATGGTAGTATTTACTGAGATGGGAAGGCTAGGGGAGAAGCGGGTTTGGGGAGGCAGATCAAGAATTCTTTTTGGACTTGGTAGGTTTAATATGTGCATTAGATATCCAAGTGTTGATGTCCAGTTAACAGTTGACTATATGAGTCTCGAACTCAGAAGACAAATGGGAGTTGAAAACATAAATTTGATAGTCATATTCATGTAGATTTTCTCTTTTAGCATGGGTCTGCCACATACAAAAGGTTAAAGTTGGACCCTTATCTTAAACTAGATACAAAAATTAACTCAAAGTGTATTAAAGACCTAAACGTAACACCTAAAACTATAAAACTTCTAAAAGAAAATGTAAGCAAAAAGCTTCATGACTTTGGACTTGACAGTGATTTCTTGGATATAACACCAAAATCATAGGCACAAAAGCAAACATAGACAAATTGGACTACATCAAACTTAAAAACTTTGTGTATCAAAGGACACAACAGAGTGAAGAGGCATCCTGTGAAATGGGAGAAATATTTGGAAGTCATACATCTAATAAGGGGTTAATATCCAGAATATATAAAGAACTCTTGTACCTTAACAACAAAAAATTAAATAACCTGATTAAAAAGTGGACAAAGGCCTTGAATAGACATTTCTCCAATGATGATACACAAATGGGCAGCAGGCATATGAAAAGATGCTTGACATCACTAATCGAAAGAGAAGTGCAAGTCAAAACCACAGTGAGATATCACCTCATACCCGTTAAGATGGATACTATCAAAAAAAAAAAAACCAAAATAACAAGTGTTGGTGAGAATGTGGAAAAACTGGAACCTGTGTGCCCTTTTGGTAGAATTACAAAATGGTGCACCTGCTATGGAAAACAGTATGGAGGGTCCTCAAAAAATCAAGAATAGGGCTTCCATGGTGGCTCAGTGGTTAACAATCCGCCTGCCAATGTAGGGAACTCGGGTTCGAGCCCTGGTCGGGCAACTAAGATCCCACATGCTGCAACTAAGACCCGACGCAGCCAAATAAATAAAATTAAAAAACAAAAATAAAAAAACGTAACATGTATTTAAAAAAAAAATGCGGGACTTCCCTGGTGGCGCACTGGTTAAGAATCCACCTGCCAATGCGGGGGACATGGGTTCGAGCCCTTGTCGGTCCAGGAAGATCCCACATGCCATGGAGCAACTAAGCCCATGCGCCACAACTACTGAGCCTGCGCTCTAGAGCCCATGAGCCACAGCTACTGAGCCCATGTGCCACAACTACTGAAGCCCACGCGCCTAGAGCCCAAGATCCACAACAAGAGAAGCCACCACAATGGGAATCCCGCGCACCGCAATGAAGAGTAGCCCCCGCTCGCTGCAACTAGAGAAAGCCGCGTGCAGCAATGAAGACCCAACCAGCCAAAAGTAAAAAAAAAAAAAAAAAAAAAAATGCATCCATGGAATCCACTACCTTTTCTAACCGTTCTGAACTTGGCATTGGCAGTCTCTCCCACCCGGCCTCCTGCTCTAGAGTTAGGAACGTGTTCCTTTTTTTAGTAGGACACACCAGAGTTTATGTACACCTTCATTACTTCCATTCCTTAATTGCCAACAGGCCCATGAAGCTCCAGCTTTCGATTTTTATTCCCCCTAGCTCTTTGGGTCATCAGAAAATTCTTCTAGTCCTTTCTTTGACAAAGTGATGTAAAGTAATCTATACTGGTGAAAAGATGTGATATATGGTATATTCTTAGGCAGCAGACTAAGATAATACCTGTAGCCTGTGCTAGCTGGGGCCTGAGGAGTTATTGACAACCTGGAAGTCTTCCAGGTGGCTGAGAGTTTTCCTACTAAGAAGAGCCAAACTACAGCAGTCTACTTCCTGTCCCTGTGGATTTGCCTCTTCTGGACATTTCATGTTAAATGGAATCATATAATATGTGCTCCTTTGTGACTGACTTCTGTTGTAGCATGTATCAGTACTTCATTCCTTTTTATGGCCAAATAATATTCCATTGTATGAATATGCCATATTTTGTTTATCCATTTATCAGTTGATGGACATTTGGGTTATTCAGCTATTAGGAATAATGCTGCTATGAACATTCATGTACATGTTTTTGTATGGATGAAAATTCATTTTATACCTCTCTTTTTTTTTCCCCCCAGTGTCTTTCTCGAGAAGCAGGTGGCAACATGAGCATTCAGTTTCTTGGTACCGTGGTAAGTGTGAAAGAATTATTATTTTTTATATTCTCTTAATTTACAGAGAGAAAAAGTGATTGACTAGTAGTTATAGCCCATGTGTTTGGACTTGGCTTCCTCATGGGTTTGTTTTGCTGTTAAATGAGATGTCTTTGTATAAGAAATGGGTTCTTTAATGTGTGGGAAAAGATTCCATGACAGAGTAATTTTAGCTATTTCTTATGAGAGACAAAATGGTTTTTTAAATTATCTGTAGTTTGTTGAGTCTTTTAAGTCCTTTTTTCACTGGGGACTTTCTCCCCATTTTTAATAAAAATAAGAACATATTATAAAAAAAAGATGTTTTTGAAAATAGTGACCTTGGGAATTCCCTGGCGGTCCAATGGTTAAGACTGTGCTCTCACTGCCGAGGGCCGGGGTGCCATCCCTGTTCGGGGAACTAAGATCCCACAAGATGCGCGGCATGGCCAAAAACCAAAGAAAATCGTGACCTTGCTGTTCTGTTCTGTATATGTTTTGTTTTGTTTTTGCTCAGTTTTCCTTCTAGCTTTTTTTGTTAGGTGCTTTCGAGTCCACATTTCTAATGAAACTGAGTCAAAATTATTTAACTCTACCTGGTGAAAATAAATTTAATTTATAGTTATTATTTTTACTTATAGGTTTATAATGATCATATTAGCAGTATTAGTTATAATTTTCAAAATAATTTGTTGAAAAAGGTACCTTATTGTTTTAATTAGCATTTCTCTGCTTATTGGTATTATATTTGAATATTTCTCCATGTATTCACTTGCTAGGTATCATTTATAATCTGTAAAATGTCTGTTCATGTCCTTTGGGTACCTTGTTCAGGTTGTAAATTCACACTGGGTATTTCTGTTAGGTCCGTGTGTTGAGAATATCAGAGGACAGACCTGTGGCTTAGATCAAAAGAAGAGTGATTTTGCAGCTGTTGAGATAGGAAGGATATTAGTACTAATGTGCATTTACTGTGTGCTTTGTATATGTATAGAGGTGTAGTAAAGTTTACATATTAAAGTATATGTATAGGCACCTGCCTGACGTGATGTAAACTTTTAAGTATTGCTCCTAAGACTTGTGGTTATTCTTGTTTTTCTGATTAATAAGTACTACACATGCTTCTTTTTTTAATTAGGAAATTTAAATATTATTTAAATGCATGTTATAAGAAATTGTATTAGGTTTCTCCAAAGAAACAGAACCAACACCATGTGTGTGTGTGTGTATTATATTTTTATATATTACAGAGGGAGAGATTGATTGATTGAGTGATTGATTTTAAGCAATTGGTTCACGTGATTGTGGTTGCAAGTCCCAAACCTGCAGGGTAGACCAGGGAAGAGTTGCAGTTCAAGTCCAAAGTCAGTGTGCTTGAAGGATTCTCTCTTGCTTGGGAGGTCAGTCCTTTTTCTTCAACTGAGTGAATGAGCCCACCGATATTATTAGAGGGTCATCTGCTTTACTCAAAGTCTACTGATTTAAGTGTTAATCTCATCTAAAAAAAATACCTTCGTAGAAACATCTAGAATAATGTTTGGCCAAATATTTGAATACTGTTGCCTAGCCAAGTTGACACATAAAATAAACCATCACGGAAGTATTCATTTTAGTCCCTAGAGGTATTTAAGTTTTTAACAATAGACTTATGCTTCCAGAAATAGATTTATACATCTTTTCATGCAAGAATAAATTGTGGATATCTTTCTAAGTCATTACATAAAGATCCATGTCATTCTTTCTCACAACTACCTGGAATTATATTACATGAAGGTTTTTCTGTACCTCTGTGCTCATGCTAGAAAGGGCACTTATGCTGTCTCTGCTGCTTGATATCTCTCCTTGGATTCCAATAGATTTCTCAGGGCTCAGATACTGAAAACTGAGTTCTTGATAGCCACAACCTGCAAAGAAACCAAACCAACATAAAGTTTCTCCAGGCAGTTTTTCCTATCTCAGAAAATGGCAACTTAAGCTAAAACCTTGTCTTTTCCTTCCTTGATTCCCCTCTTTCGTCCACCACTCCCACTGCCCCCCATCCTGACCAGAGTCTTCGTCATCTCCTGTCCAGATTCTTGCAGCAGCCAGTCTTCCCACCTCCACCCCTGCTCTCTGTTTTATCATTAATATAGCAGTTAAAGTGATCCTTCTAAAATACACATCAACTCAGCCGACCTTGTTGCTCTTCTTCAAACGTGTCGGGCACAGGCGTCAGGGCCTCGTCATTTGCCTCTCTCCTGCCAGGCCTCACTCATGGCCTCATCCAAGCCTAATTAACTCCCAAAGGTGGCACCTCCAGATACCGTCATATTGGGGATTGTAGTTCAACGTATGAATTTGGGGGGGGACACAAACATTTAGTTCACAGTATACACTTAGTTGGTAGAGCTACATACCCCAGAACTTTTCCAGGATATCTGTGCCTATTTCAAATAGTAAATTGTCTGGGTTTGTTTTGTTTGCATGTTTTTTGGTGAAGCTGTGAGTTTGTGTATGTCAGATAGTATAAGCTCACAGAGAAGTGGAAAAGGTCCAGTATTTTACGTAACCCGACTTCCTTACTTGAACTGTGCTTCACAATAAGGAAGAATATTTTGTTACGACTTGAAGAATGCAGAAGTTACTGTTTTATTCCAAATCTTGTATTGCAATCATTGTTTGTATTTAATTTTTTAAAGTTCCATAATCTTTAAAACGCCGTAATATTAAGACAAACATATATCTCAGTAAGACGGAATTTTTTTTTCTTGTGAAAACAATACATATTGCCCGAAAGAGAGAATAAGCTTCGACTACATTGAGCAGCTTCTTCATAGCTGTGCTTTTGGCATTTACCCAAGGACTCTTGAGGAACTATCAAATTATATGTCTTTGAAGCTTAGCCAGAGATCTTAATGAAACCAAATCATGCTGAAGTTCTTAAAGCTAGTTTAAATCTCAAACTGTACATTTTAAATTAAGTTTTTATTGATAATAAATATACTTTATTTCTCATTAGCCTTGAAAGCTTGAGTAACAATATCTGTAGAATAAACATGTTTTACAAAGATTTACCATGAAGAATGGTATTAATATGACCCTTGTTACACTAGCACAATAAGATTTCAAAGTAAGCATTCACGAAGTAACAGCGATTAATGACAACCATCGAAAACAATTTTGAACTCCATCAGTTTAACTCAGGAGGGTAAACTTAATATGATAATTCATCTAGTTGAATTGTATCAGCTTAGCAGGAAAGTATGTAAATACGTGACCCTTACCTAGTTTCTAAATGGATGCTGTGCTGATAGATTTATCAGTTCCATTAAAGAACTTTGGGGAGCTTCGGAATTTCAGCAATTGTTCCCTTGGAGGCTGAAAACCCAACCTGATCTCATACTGGGACCATTCTGGTCTGCATATTTCCATAATTTGCCTTTGCTACTAATATGACAGCAAGACACAAATAACTGTTTCTAATAATATCAGATGGAGTTGTGGAGGACAGCATTTTAATGTAGTAAAAGACCTCCCCCTGGGGTTGTTATTGCTACTATAGAACAGCAGCTACACAGTTGCAACTGTAGTCTCTTAATTGATTTGTTTAATTAGCAAGAGCTGAAGCTTGGGCTGAATCTTGTCATCTGATATCATAGGACCCAAAATCTGCATCATTCATATTTATAGATACAGGAACACCATCAAAAAGTTTTACTTTTTCTGAAAACTCACTTACGGATATGGAATTTTAAGAGAGTAAACTCCCATTTGTTAAAAATCCAAATAATTGGAAAATGAACTAGGTTTGTTATTGTTTTTCTTTACCAGTACTCTTTTGAGAAGTAAATTATGTCATGCGTTTTCGCTTATTATTGTCTTCGAAAAATAAGCATCCAGAGAACTTCTTTGGTCTTCTGTACCTTATAAATCCCTCTCTTTACATGTCTGACTCATCTCTAGTCTTCATTTGCCTTTTTCTCCCTTCTCTGTTCCATCCCTTTCTCTGTATCACTGGGGTTTCAGGAGGGGCACGATGGCTTATTGGGATTTCTTGCATGGTGGTCCCATGTCCTAGCCTTTGCAGCTACCCGGAGGCCTATTTCCCTGTGTGCTTACCCCTTGGCAGGACATCTGACTGAATTAACCCTGGGACTTGCCCCACTTAACCCAAGTTAAGTGCAGTTAAGACCAAGCTGCACTGGTCCTAATTTCCTTGGATGGGGAAAAGAGAGGGGACTGGGAAGTGTCTAGCATAGAACCCCAGGGCCTTCATCAGACAGCCACTTCCACCCTATACACACAGGGCTCCATCCCCACTGGTTCAAGCTGTCCTTATTCCTGACCCTCTTCCCCTCCAGCCATAGAAAGCAGGTGGTGGCCACAGGCTAGACGTTTTGTGGAGGGTTGATGAAGTCTCCCTGATTTTTTTTTTTTTTTTTTTTTGCGGTACACGGGCCTCTCACTGTTGTGGCCTCTCCCGTTGCGGAGCATAGGCTCCAGACGCACAGGCTCAGCGGCCATGGCTCACGGGCCCAGCCGCTCTGCGGCATGTGGGATCTTCCCGGACCAGGGCACGAACCCGTGTCCCCTGCATCGGCAAGCGGACTCTCAACCACTGCGCCACCAGGGAAGCCCCTTACATTTTTTAATGAGCATACATAAAGCCTGGCATTTATTGGTAGTCATGGTAGTCGGTCATCTCACATTGATTGAGCATCTATTACGTGATGACATTGAGTTCTGGCAATCCACAGGAAAAAGACATCTCTGCCAGCAGTGACCGACTGTCAACTGAGGATATAGAAATATGAGTGTGATGAGAGTGATAATAGACGTTTGTATGAGGGAGAGGTATTCTGGGGCTTGGAAAAAGGAAATGGGGGAATTGCGAAAAGCTCCCCAGTGGATATGTCCAGCTCATGCTTAGACTCTAAGGATGAATAGAATTTGCAGGCAGGGAAGGGCATTTCAGATAGAAGGGAACAGCATCTGCAAAGTCCCTGAGACAGCATGTTCAG